CTCCTTTTACTTCATCCATAACTGGCCCCCAGTGCTTGGTCGGTTAGCCAATGACCGGTAAGATTCCCTAAGGGGGACATGACCTAAGACAGGCACAATCACAAGAGAGGCCCCCAAGGAAGGACTTGGGGGCTACAGCAAAAGGGGGTGATGGACCCTCATCCCTTGGCTTTGACAAAGCCTGATTCCTCATTCTGTTTGCAAGAAGTCTCCTAATTTCTTGGCTGCCTTACTTTCCCTGCCTGACTTAAGCCTGAAACAATGACAGAGGGTGGTGTAACCCTGTGCTGGAAAGGGCAGGTTCCCCGGGCAATCAGGCCTAAGAAAGAATATGTAAAATCATGTGAAAACTGCTTTGTTTAGAATGCTCTCAATGAAATGATAAGGGTCAAAGGAAGAAGTAAGTTTGTTCCTCAAAGTTTTACAGCTCTTTAGCTATCTGACCCTGACTCAAAATAGGCCCTCAGAGTTCTTTGTTATCTCTTGTTTGATCCTTACTGCCTGACAATGATTAATGAGCTTTACCTGTATTCCTGTGCAAACGAAGCCAATAAAAGCTCATTGAGGAATAGGCTCCTGGCCCTTCTCCTTTGAGAGATCAGCCACCTTTCTTCCTCAAGCAGATCATGTCTTGGTAGACTTATTCTCATCTGTGGCAGGCGGGGGGGGGGGGGTGCTGTGGGCAGAGCTCCCCCCCCACAGAGAACAAATGTGTGTGGGTGTGCACACAGGTGTGTGTTGTAATGATTCAGATTAGAGATGAAGGTGACCTAAACCAGTATGACTCAAAATGGTGAAATGCTATGTCTTTTTGCCTTAATCATATCTTTAAAGGTGAAGCCAACAATATTTGAAAGTATTACACACCAAGGTATTGGAACTGAGCTATACATTATTCATAATAAAATTTCAGATGTTAAAGGAACTGTAGAAATCTTCCAATAAATACTTTGGCCCTTTAAAAGAATCATGTCTACAACAACCTGCTCCTGCTTGAACATTTTCTGGCCAATGAGCTTACTATCTCACACAGCACACCTCCCATTTAAGAATAGCTCTGGTGCTAAGAGCTCCTTCTCTTTTTAAAATTATGGTTGTATTAATAATATTATCATTTATAATTGGCATACAATATTATATTAGTTTCAGTTGTTGGGGGAAGCCCCGAACGACTAAATTCAGGTTTGATTCTGGAGAACTGACATGTAGCCTTATTCAAATTCATAAAAGCTTTCATAGGAGAACATACACAGTGGGCAAAGCAGCTGCTTCTCCCCAGTAGTGGCCAACAGGGAATAAATCCACCCTCCCTCCAGGACAGGGTCTCCTTTCTATAGGGGATTAATAGTAAAACCATATGGTAGGTAGTCACATAGACCACCAGAAAGAACAATGCATTTCTAGGTTAACATAAATTTACATAAAAACCTTTTTTTTTGTTTGTTTCTTTTTCTCATCAGTTTTGGTTCATGTTCATGTATTTAATGTGTGGCCCAAGACAACTCTTCTTCTTCCAGTGTGGCTCAGAGACAAAAAGTTGGACACCCCTGTGGGCATCAAACTCTTTCCTGGAGCTGAGGTTCATCTTTGGGCAGCATGCTGGCTTTCTGGGTAGTCAGCCACGCCTGAGGGTACAGGGGGTTAAACAGTCACACAAAAACAGAGTCCAACATTTTCCAGACACCTTTATTGCTGGAAACATACTGCATCTCTGAATGATGTCCCCTATAAGTATATGACAAAATGATTCAATATTTGTATACATTTTGAAAATAATCATCACAATAAGTCTAAGTACCATCTGTCACCACACAGGGATAACACAACATTATTGACTACAGTCCCCATGTTGTATGTTACATGCATAGGACTTAGTTATTTTGTAACTAAAGCTCTTTTTCTTATACTAAGCCAAAGCCTACTTCTCCACAATGGACAAGTATAATATTGTGATTTATAATAAGGTATATAATTTGGACTTTGTCCCTATCTCTGACCGAGCTCCTAAAGCCCTTGGAATTTCTTAAGCCATAAGAGCTATAAAGGTGCCTTGAAATTCATAGCAAACTCCCCTCCACCATAAGTGAGTTTACGTTAGTAAGGTGAGTTTTGGAAAGTATCGCAGGTTGGGGGCTGGTCACCTCGGAAGCCAGCCATGGATTAGAGGGTTGGCACTCTCAGTCCTATCTCCCCAGCCTCCAGGAAAAGGAAGAGGGACAGCAATTCAATTTAGTCAACACTGGCTAATGATTTAATCAAGCATGCCAATGTAGTGAAGCCTCCATGAAAACCCAAAAGGATAGGGTTTGGGGAGCTTCCAGGTTGGTGAGCCAGAATGCTTCCATGTGCCATGGTTCCTGGGCCTCAAATTCCAAGGGGAACAGAAGCTCCTGCATTCAGGAGCTTGCCTGTGCATCTTTCTTTTCTGGCAGTTTTTACCCTTTAATATCTCTTGTAATAAAACAGTGATCTAGTGAGTAAACAGAGTCCCCTGAACTGATCTAACAAATTAATGGAACCCAAGGAGAGGATCAGGGGAACCTCCGATTTATAGCTGGTCTGTCAGAAGCACAGGCAACAACCTGGACTTGCTATTGGCATTGAACTTGGGGGAGTCTTTTGGGACTTAACCTTTAACCTGTAGAATCTGATACTATCTGCATGTCAAGAGTTGAACTGAATTATAGCACACACCAATGGTGTCTCAAATTGTATGGTCTGGAGGGAAAATAACACATTGGAATTGGTGTCAGAATTGTAACAAGTGACTAAGAAAGATGAAAAACCTGGTAGGAAGGTGGGTAAGAGAAAAAGGGAGAGACTTTTTTTTCACTAGTATGTCCCCAGCACATAGTATGGTATGTATCATTAGGTATACAATAAATATTTTTCATTGTCTAAGCAATTTGGAAGAAGAGCATTGGATTATAATGTGATCATAGTACATTAGTCAATTATTTCTTAATGAGATTTCAAAAGAGTAAAATTAAAATGTTTCCTCTATCCACTACGCTTATATCTCTTATTGACTCAGTGAGTTATATGGATGATGGCAGTTTTAAATACATAAAAAAATACTGTATTATTTGTAGTTTACAGCTTCTTGGTGTCCCAAATCTCAGCTATATTTAAGTGCATACATTCTTTAAATAAGTGATATACATACCAAGTATGTCACCGCACTTTGGCTACCAACTAATCAGAGTGGATGTCAGGCAGTCTGGTGCATATCAGCTAAATGTCAGCCTGCTTCAAAGTATGGGAGAATCAAGCTATTAGAGTGCTGAGTTTAAATACCACATATTTCTATTTTGTCTTTATTGTAATGAACAAGCCCTGTCTTTAGCTCCTGCTGTGCACTTTTGGAGGGTCTTCCATATGGTTGCTGCTAAGTATTCTGGCATTTCCCCAACTGTTACAATTGGGTCAGTGGGGGGCTCTGTAGGAGTAATAAAACAAGGGTGACTGCAGCAGGGAGGAGTACTATTACTACACACATAACAGCTCATTGCTACTCAAGCATTCAAGCACAGCTCAATGCCATTCATTAAAACAGGCAGTGAAGGCAAACCTCCTTTTTGCCAGAGTTTATTCCAGGATAAGACAAGGCCTTGCATGCTGAGACTAAGTCTCTTCATTTACAATTTTCTCTTTCCTCATTTCTTCACCTTCCCATAAAATCTGTAATAACTTGAGGAGTAATACAATTTTATCTTGCATATTATTATGTCATTCTGAGAAAGTTTTCATGAACAAACTCTAGCTAAATTTTAGTAGCAACAGCAGGATTGCCAGTGGCCCTAAGGGCTTTCACATCTTGTGAGGGGGGAAAAAATTGGGGCGGGAAGTCTGAATACTACAAATACTTAAAAATCGTTGAGACGTGATGCATAAACTCAAAGGTGGCTGATAATATTGATTTTTTTTTTCTTGGAGTGTCTTGTGTATCAGAAAACACATCTATAAAAAAAAAAGGCCATTATTATTTTTATCCTGTGGAAGGCAGTGTTGCTCAAAGCTCTAATAGATTGGGAGGGGAAAGTTCAAAGCACACTTAAGATTCTAAATAGTGAAATAATACATTAAACTGAAATATGCGTATACACACACAATGAAGTAAAACAATGAACTTAAAATCCTGATTCAAAGATTGTTTACATATTTATGCCTATACACACAAGGATTCTCTAAATTATTCATTATGCTTTTCCTTTAACATGGCGTTTTATTTTTTCCACAGTATAACCAATATATAGTTATGTGGTATTTTAAGAGATTCACAGTATAGCCATTAATTTTTCTTTAGGAATTACAAGAAATCGAGATTTTAAAAAATAGGGTTGGATACATACAAATAAGCATGGGCTTTTTTTGTTCATGTTTCCAGCCAAGCACATTAAAGTGTTGCATTAAGAAAGTTGCCCCCCATTTCCTTCTTCCTCCACCACCTTCAGGCCCAGAAACCGGATCCCTAGAGACCGACACCGGGTGGTCAGAGCCCTGGGTCCAGGGCCGCAAGTGAACGCTTCGGTCCTGCAGGCGGCTGCGCCGTGGACCACGAGAGCTGAGGGCACTGAGGCAGTCGCTGAACGAGTTAGGGAGAAAAAGAGGGTGAAACCCAGGGACAAGCACCTTAGCATTACAACCAGCCCCTGCACTTAAGAAAGTACTGATACTGACAGCAACTGGATAATCGTAATTCAACTGGTTCCAGACCACCTGGCTTGTCCTCGGACAGTGGAGACCCGTACTTCCAACTTCTTCCCGGGCAAACGGGAAAGCGCTAAGCAAGGCTCAAGTTTGTCAGCACTCAGCCTGCCCACAAGAAGGTTTCCTTCACCGCCCACGGTCTCCGAAGATCTGCTACCGCCAACGGCCTCCGCGGAATCGCAACGCCCAAACCCGGAAAGTGGGATACCCGGCCGCAACTGAGGTGAGGGCAACTGGGGCGGCTTCAGGCGCCTCAGTGCGCAGGCGCAAGATCACAACGCGCAGGCGCCACCTACAAGTGACTTCTCCAAAAAGTGTCTTAGTTCGCAGTCACCTGAGCTCCGGGAGACGGCTACTGCGGGTTTCAGGGACACCGACTTCTGCGGGTCCTACTTGGAGACCCTGCCCTCTTTTCTTGTTCTTTGGCTTCGCTACCCCGAACCCTCCGAGGGCTAGTCCTTTCCTTCTTGTCCTTTCCCATTTGCGCACCGGACCGGGCCGAGCTGGGCCGCCTGGGCGCGGTTCTGGACCATGGCGTCCCTCTTTAAGAAGAAAACCGTGGATGGTAAGTTCCAGGCCTGGCCGAAAAGGCCCAGCTCTGTGTTTTCCAGATGTGTTTTGGGGGCTTCTGGCTGTGATTCTTGTTTATGTCCCTGGGGGCGGGGCTGGATCAAGGGACCCCACAGGTGATTGACCTCGTGCGTCACTTTCTGCTTCCCATCTCCTCTCACTAGCCCACCTCAACAGCACCACCTGGGCGGTCTGGCTTCTCACGAGTCGAGTAACAAGCCCCCCGCCCTGTATTTTCCTTTAGCGGAATCCTGAGGAGGCAGGATGCTGCTGGCCCTTGAGTATCATTAGTCTTGATGATTTAATGAATTTCTTGATAGTTTTGTCTTGGTTTCTTTAGTTTGTTGTGTACTACTTCTGGGGGCGCGAACCGGAAACCTGTGTCTACGGTGGGAGGCATGGGGTTGGGTGAGGGTAGGGGATAAACAGGCTCCAGTTATCAAAATGAATTTGGGTTTGAGTTGGTCTTGTCTAAGAACACCCCATCAGCAGAGATGTGAAACAATTCTTGACTAACTCCAATAGAAAAATAAAAGAAACCCAAAGGAAGTGCCGGGATTGTTTCATAATGGATTTTTCTCGTTTGTGATTATCTTTTGCTCTCAGAAGTAAGAGATATGATGTGTATTATCTACATAGAAGTTTACGTTTTAAGGTGCTTTTATTGTTCCAGACATTTAGGTCAGTGTCATCTTAATAGAAAAAAGTACATGTACAGGAATATGCAAATTAATGTTTATAAGCAATGCTTGCTTGTAATGTAAGTCCATATAACACTGGTTAGTCTTGATAGTCTTGATATTTTCATTGACTGCTACCAGGAATCAAATTCATTCAAGTTCTTTTAAAATAGTGTTTCCTATTACATGTTGAGTATATGTTACTGGTGGTTCAGCCAAAGAATCACTTCTTTGTAAGGGTCTAACTCAACAAAAGGAGCAGTGGATATAGCTGGACAGAATGCACAATCCAGACCTGGGGTAACTCCTTCATTCTTTTTATTGACTATTCCAATGCAGGAAAATTATTTTGGAGAGGATAACAAAGACATCATTTTTACTCTGCCACTCTGCCCTTTTCTTTAACACATAATGTCATCTTACCCCTAATAATATACTTTTGCTTACTGAGTTGGTGATAAGATTTTTTTTTAATTTATTGACTTTTCATTAACAGACTTCTTAAAAAATCATTTACAATACCAGAAAAATTACCAAGTTGTTATAGGGTGTAATACAGTGATTTGAAGTGGGTTTTATGTGTGTTCTTTCTGAGAATGCTGTTTGTTTAATTTTTAACCTGGCACTTTATTTTTTCAGTGTTCCAGTACTAACATTTTGATTTTCAATGATTGTATAATACTCCATGGAGGAAAAAAGATTCATTTCTTTATTATATAATTAGAATTTTACTATTGAAATTGAGATCAAATTGACAGTAACCAGAGGGGAGGGGCAGGGGAAAGGGGATAATGGGGGAAAAGGGGGAAGGATTGTCAAGGAACTTATATAAAGAACACATGGACAAAGCCAAAGGCAGGTAGGATCGAGGGTGAGAGGTGGGGATGGGTGGGGCCAGGGGACGTGGAGGAGGGGAAATGGAAACAACTGTACTTGGGAAAAAAACACACAAGAAAACTTAAAAAAAGAAAATAAATAAAAAAGTGTTTTACTAAGCAGAGGAAAAGGATTGCATCTTTCTTACTCTGATGTTACAAATTAATTTATTTTAAAAATTTAACATTAACAGCCAAACATCCTAGTTTTAATTGTTTAATATCTATTAAATATTTTTAAACACTTAAATGTCAGTTCTGTATTCTCATTGTTGTGCTTCCTGGTGCTTTTGGCAATCTGATGACTGTTGTGTTTGAAGTGTAGAGCTGAATAAAAATAAAGTCAATGAGGATGTGCAATGAGGGTGTTTAAATGTATACTCATTTGCAGTTGGGTTAATTCATCCAAGAAATAATGTTTTTGCTAAATAGACTTATTTGGGCGGGGGGCAGTCTTAAAGACTTCTGCTAGGAACTATGCTAGTGAATTAAAGATCTGTATATGAAATTCCTGAATATAAATTTTGCCACCATGTACATTGACTATAACTACCAGACTACATACTTGATGTTTTCTGAAATTATCATGTCAATTCAAATCATTTAATGACATCTTAATTCTAGAACTGTACTTCTGTTATTTTGATACAGAGTTTTAATGCTGTGTTTACTCCTTGTTTTACTAAAAAGAGTTGTTTTGTTTGTTTAAAAGGTAACAGCTTTCTTAGTAGTAATGAGGCTATATATTGTGAAATTTAATGTATTATATGCATTTCTCCCAGATCTTTGGACTCGTTGATTATTGATCATAATATCTTTTACTGTATGCTGTCTTTTTATCTGTTTCAGCAGTAATGAAATTCTGATATATAAAGGAAGCATGTAACTGTTTATACATCTGAAGAATAATTGAATCTTTTTGTCTCTTTGGATTGGCTGGAACAGTTGCATACTGTATCATTAAAGACTACTGCACATGTAAATTAAAAAGGGAGACATTACTGCACTTATTACTATTCAGAGTTATGTTTAATTCATTTTTGACACAGAGATGAGTCTATGCACTGTATACTTTGTTACAGAAATTAATGAGAACTGTACCTCAATGCCATAGAAGAGAAAGAGTCTTTTGAATTTGAAATTACAGTTGAGTCCTTGATTTTCCTTTTACTGATTTATTATTTATATATATATATGTGTGTGTGTGTGTGTGTGTGTGTGTGTGTGTATATGTATATATATAAGGGTAAAGTATTTTTTCCCTTAAGTGACAAATGGTGACCTATTTATTGGAGCTAATTATAAACCTGTAAATCAGGATGCCATGAGGGCTTGTCATAGATGCACAACTAAATATACCTCTTAAAAAGTGAAGTTTTTAATTCACTGTTTAATTGTTGTCTCTTATTCTAAATAAAGACAAATTTGAGTTTCTACTCTAAGCCACCACGAAGTTAGTGTTTTGTATGTAGTATCTTATTAGAATTCTCACAACACCTGTAAGTACTGTTGTAACCCCTACTTTATAGATGAGGAAATTGAGAGGCAAAGGACTGAGTAGCTTGCCCAAGATCACACAGCTACTGAGTGGCAGAGCCAGGGCCTAATCTCTTTGAATATTATCATTGTTATTTTTTATTAGATAATCCTATGGCACAGTTTAATTTTGCTGTTCTTGCTAAGTACTTGGAATTCTCAACTTTTGATAGGTATCATGTTACCTTTAGTTTGTGAACCAGACTCTCTTCTCTCAGAATTCATAACAGAACTTTAATATCTAATGGTGGTAGAACTGGCAACAACTCTCCTTTTCCTTACTCTCTCTTGACCCAGTATTTCTTAGGTAATATTGTCCTTCCTCTTTTTGCTCTTCATCTCAACCTCCTATAGAAGTAGCTATGTCTCCTATCTCTACCTCTTTATTTCTCAGATGCCCCATTCTACAGCAGTTTGCCTACATCTCATGTAATGAGATTTTGCTAAGATCATCAATGACTTCTAGATAGCCAGACTCAATGCCTATTTGTGGGTGATCATCTCTTGGGCCTTTGTTTTACATTTCATGCTAGTAATAAGTTCTTCCTTAAAGCTCTCTTGGCTTGCATGACAAAATTGTACATTCTCTATTTGCATGATCTTATTCAAACTCTTATTATTTTACTTATAACCTAAATCTTGGTGGATCCCAAATTTGTATCTCTAGAAATATTTTTCTGAGAGTCAGATCAGTATTTCTATCTTGAGGTCCCAACGGTTTGGGACATCCCTTTGATGTCAAAGAGATTTCAAACAATTCATCACCATATCCTTTAAATTGGTTCCTTTCCTGGGTTCTCCTCCTCCATTGTTTGGGAATTCTTCATGTTGCTGCTTACCTTCAGTTAATTACCAAATCCTACTCCTTTTGCTTCTTAAATATTTGACACATAAGATCTTCCTCTATATGCCTTCAAATCCTTGCTGTCATTCAGATCCCGTTTATCTTGCACTATATTGCAGTCACCTTTCTGCTTTTCTTTGCTATAACCAAACAGCCCTTAGATTATTCATCTGCAAAGCTGTTTATGTGATTGATATACCTAAGACCTAGATCTTCCTATGTTATTCTTCAGTGTGAACTCCTTTATTGACTCCCTGGTACCAACAGGGTCATGTGGGTGCTTTTAATAAGGCAGTTATGGCTCTCTTTGATCTGACCATGTCTTTGGACATTTTACTGTCCAACAACACTGTTCTCATATTCATCTGCATATACCATACTTCTCACTCTGACATATTTTTGCTTATGATGCTTTTGTGGAAAAAACTCTCTTCTAGATAACCTGACCTATCTCAGGTTTTTTCCTTCTCTGGGAATTCTTCTCAAATTATGTTAAATCCCTTACTATTTATGTTTTTTTTCTTTTTCTTTTTTGAAACATCTTCTTCCTGATTTGCATTGATGGAACCAAAGTAGATCCTTGTGATCTTCCAAAGTTGTATTATGTATTATGCTTATTCTAAGTTTTTCCTACATTCCATATTTGCAGGGTTGCAGAGTCCTGAGCATAATGAAAATATTTCTGTGCAGCAGTTTATAATTTAGAGACTAAATTCCAAAACAATAGTATTTACTAACCCAAAGTAGTGTTTCCAGTATCCAGAGCTTATTATAGCCTACATCCATATTGCTACCTACATTGAACTTTAATGCAAATTTAGAAATAGTTGGAAGGACATTACTAACAAACAGGAACAGAGCTTCTTAGTCTTTGCCTCATTGGAGTGTTGTTATACATGTATGTTAGCTATACAGCAAGCAGAACCTGTGGAGTTTTGACTCAGGAGAAATTTATCCAGAGGTCAGTTGTGCGGTCACATATCCAACAGTTCAAGAGGGAATAAAATCTACCATGTGTATAAACTGAATTCCCTCCAGAAACATATCTGCTTTCTTCCAG